TGAACATTTGGGTTGTTTCTGGTTTGGAACTACTACAAATAAAGCTGCTGTGAACATTCTTTGTATAAATCTGTATAGACATATGCTTTTATTTCTCTTGGATTGGTAGAAAGGGATTAGCTGGATCCTAAGGTAGGTGTATCTTTTCTTAATAACCAGTGATGTTAAACATCTTTTCATGTTCTTATTTGCAAGCCATGTATCTTTTTTGGAGAAGTGTATATTCCCCTTTTAGCCCATTATAAATTAGGAGGTTTGTTTTCTTACTTAGTTTGGAGAGTTTTTATTTACAATTTTTATCAGATTATTTTCAGATATTTTCTCCCATTTATGGTTTGTCTTTTCATTCTCTTATTGGTGTCTTTTGAAGAGCTGAAGTTTGTAATTTTGAAGAAGTTTAGTTCATTAGTTTATTTTATGGATTATGTTTCAGATGCTATATCTAATATATCTTTGCCTGACTAAAGGGCATAGTATTTTCTTTTAGGAGTTTTCTATTTTTAGAAGTTTTGTGTTTTACATTTGAGTGTATGATGCATTTCAAATTTTGTATATGGTGTGAGGTATGGCTTAAAGTTCTTTTTTTGCTTTTTGCATATGGAAAAAGCATCATCATTTGTTGAGGGGACTATTCATGCTCCACTGCTTTCCATTTGGACTTGCATGAAAATGCATGGATTTATTTATGGACTCTCTATTCCATTGCATTGATCTATATGTCTGTCTTTCTTGAAACTGAAGTAGCATTAGTCTGATTTCTTTCTTTAAAAAAAAATGTGGTTATTCTGAGTTCTTTCTATTTTCACATGAATTTTAAAAATTAAGTTGGTTGATTTCTACAAAAAGTCTACTGGGATTTTTATTAGGATTACACTGATTCTATAGATCTATTTGAAGAAGACTTGCCATTTTAACAACATTGAGTCTTCCAGCCTTTGAATGTGGTATATCTCTTCATTTGTCTAATCTTTTAAAATTTCTCCCTGTTAATGTTTTTTAGTTTTCAGTGTATAGGTCTTTTGTATACTTTGTCAGGCTTATCCTTAATTATTTCATTTTTATGCCATTATAAATGGTGTCTTAATTTCTGATTTGTTGTCAATTTCCGATTATTTCTAGGATACAAAAATATAATTTGTTTTTGTGCATTGATCATGTATTGATCTTGTATTTTGCAATCTTGCTAAACTCAGTTATTAGATTGAAGAGCTTTTTTGTAGAGTCCATTGAATTTTCTACCTAGACATGTCATCTACAAATAAAGACCATTTTATGTCTTGCGTCACGATCTGAATGTATTTTATTTATTTTTGTTTTATTGCACTGGCTAGAACTTCCAATACAAGGATGAATAGAAGTGGTGAGAATAGATGTCCTTCTCTTGTTTTTGAACTTAATGGGAAAGCATTGAGTCTTTCATTATTTAGCATGACTTCAGTTTTAGGTTTCTCATATTAATAGATATGTTTCACCAGGGTGAGGAGCTGCTTTCTATTCTTAATTTATAATGGTTTTTTTTTTAATCAGGAATGGATGTTGGATTTTATCACATACAATTTTTGTATCTGTGAAAATAATCATGTAGTTTTCTTTTTTAATGTATTAATATGGTGAATTACATTTATTTTGAATGTTAAACCAATTTTGTATTCCTGGGATAACCCTACTTGGTCATGATATATTCTCATATTGTTGGATTTGATTTGCTAGAAGTTTGTTTATTACTTTTGCATCTGTGCTTATGCGGGATATTGGACCATAGGAATCTTTTGTCATAACGGAATTATCTGGTTTTGATATCTAGATAATGCTTTTTAGATAGTAAAGATTTCCTCCTTCTCAATTTTCTGGAAGGATTTGTGTCTAATTGGGATTATTTCTTCCTCAGATATCAAGTAGAAGTCATCAGTGAAGACACTGGGGCCTGGAGTTCTAAGACTTCTAGATTACAGTTGCTATTGTTGTTTATTGTCTTTGGACTTGAATTGTTTTATTAATAGGAAGAAATCTGTTGTCATCCTTTTCATTGCTCCTTTATATGCAATGTATCTTTTTCTCTGGGTGTCATTAAAAACTTTTTTTTTTTCTCTTGTTTTGAGCATTTTGGCAATAATATGCCTTCATGTGTTTCATGTTTCTTGTGAATCAGTGTTTTGAGATGTTTGGATCTGTGGGTTCACAGTTTTATCAAATTTGGAAAATGTTCTACCATAATTTCTTAAGTAGTTTTTCTGCCTTTCCATCTCTCTCCTTTCCAAATAACTGGCATATTAATCTTCATAAAGTTCTCCTGCAGCTCACTGATGTTCTTGGTTGTGGGTTTTTTTTCAGTTTTACTCTCTTCTTCTTCATTCTGTGTAGTCTTGATAGCTGTGCCTTCAGATATGCTAATGTTTTCTTCTAACATGTCTAATGTGCCATTAATTTTATGCAGTGTGCTTTTTCATCTTATACATTGTAGTTTTCATCTCTAGAAATTTTATTTGGATTTTTTTCATATATATTCTACCTGTTCTTAACATTTTGAGCGTGTGAAATCTAGTTATACACTTAATGTCCTTGTCTGCTAATTCTGATTTTTGTCAGTCCTGGTCAGTTTTGATTGTTTTCTAAATTACAGATTGTATTTTTCTGCATTTCTGGATGCTTGATAATTTTTATTAGATGTCAGTCATTACGAATTTTACTTTATTGGCTGGTAGATACTTTTGTATTTCTATAAATATTTTGTGAGGTTTGTTCTGGTGCATAGTTAAAATAGTTTGAAACCGTTTAATCCTTTTATGTCTTGCTTTAAGATTTTTGTGAAACCAGAGAAATGCACAGTCTAGAATTGAGTATTTCCCCCAGTAAGGCAAGACTCTTCTGTATACTCTACCCGTTCCTTTGTGAATTTTGAGGGTTTTTTACTCTAGCTAGTGGGAACAGGCAATATTCCTGTTCTTCTGTGACTGTAGTGTGCCTTGGACCTTTCCCTGGTCTCGAGATGTTTCCTCACTTGCCTGTGCTGATTATTACAAAGGTAAATACCCTGTGGGGAATCCTCTCTGTTGTGCTCTCTCTGTGTGTGGCTCGCTTTTCCAGTATTCTGGAAATCTCTGCAAGGATCTTTCCTCACATAGGGCTCATTGCAGTTGTTTCCTGGCTCTCAGGAATCAGTTTTTCATGACCTGATGATGCAGGATGTTTTCAGCTCCTTTGCTGGACTTGCAATGGGGGTGCCCCATTTACTCAGCCTGCCATACTCAACCCCTTGCAGGAAGGAAGATGTGAGCAAATAAGAGTGGGATCAGGCCAGCTGCTTTGGGTGCCAGCAGGAGCAAGCTCTGTGCATGCCCTAAAGTGACACCCAGGTGGGGGTGAAACCAGAGAAATGCCTGTGACCCCTGAAACCCCAGAGGGCACACTACAGTGCTCTCTTCGCTTTGCCATTTGTGGACAGCAGTGTGTTATCAGCTCAGTGGGCCCCTGGCTTTGTCACATGGGGCATCTGCACTCTGCCAGGAAGGGCGAAGGGCCAGTGTGACAGCCTTTTTTGAGTACCTGCATCCGGTGGGTCCCAAGCTCTTATGTGGGATCCAAGAAGAATGAGGTCGTGCTAACACTTGAAGGATGGTGAAGGCAGATAATTTTATTTAGTGATGGAAATGGCTCTCAGTGGAGTGAGGAGCTAGAGAGAGGATGGGACAGGCAGGTAATCTTCCCTGAAGCCAAACTGTCTCTCCAGAAGTTAAGCCATCTCTCCTCTGAAGTCCAGCCATCCCTCTGAAGTCAAGTTGCTTCTCTCCAGTCAAGCTGCTTCTCTACTGACTGAGTCCGGGACCTTTATAGGCACAGAATAGGGGGCGGGGCAAGCCATGAGTAGTTTTGGAAAAGGCAACATTTAACATTTGATTGGTATAAAGGCCCCATTCAGAAATAACCAGTCAGGAGAGAACAGGCAAACAGGGATGGAACGTCTCACCTCGGGCTGCAGGTTTCAGGCTTCTTTGGCTTGAAGGTAGGGTTTCACCAGGGACTCGCCTCAGTCTGCCTAGAACTTCTCTGCCTCCTGCCTCTATGACTGAAGTTCAGTATTTTCAAAACATTGTTGCATGTATTCTGTCTATGTTTTGGTTGTTTCAGGCAGAAGCATGAATCTGGTCTCTGTTACTCCATCTTGTCTAGACATAGGAATCATGCCTTTTAGTTTTGTCCAATTTTCTTATTTTAAAAATATTAAAAGTTTTAAATGGAAAAATTCATCAGTCTTTTCCTTAACGGGCTCTGTACTTGGTATCATGCTTAGAAAGTTTTTGGTTTAAAAGCTTATAAAAATATTTACTTCTATTTTTCAAAGATTTAAATTGTCTTATTTAGATATTTTGTTAATATGGAAACCTACATTATACACAATTTGGAAAATAGCTATAACGTGGGGAGCAGGGGAGAGCACCTTTAATTCCATCAACAAACACACTATAAATACATATCTTGACATATTTTCTTTATTTTTTTTTGTATTTGTAATGCTAGTGTCTGTCATTCAGCATGTTCATCCAGTGCATCGCATCATTAACATTTTTATATTGCTACATAATCTTCACATTTGCATTTTAATGACTGAATTATATTTCATCAAATGATTATACTGCAATTATATTACCTTTGTATTGTTAAGCATTTTAGCTGTTTGTTCTTAAAGTATCTGAGGCAGTTATCAGAGAGTACGTTTTCAGAGAATCCTAACTTTGCCTACTTACACATGACCCCACGAGAGTAGAAATGTGGGTAAGGCCCTAAGCCAGCATGTCGTTACATCTGTCTCCAAGTCCGTTCTAGTACATTCAGTAAAATCTTGTTTGTAGAAAAATGAGAAGAAAATAAAAACATCAGTTCTTAATAGCTCAATCCATTTCTTATTGCTCATGTGTTTATAAAAGACTTTTAGAATTTGTTTTTAGTATTAACATGATATCTCAATTATTTTCTAATAATTATTTGTGCTTGGTTATTTTTAGGAAAGATACTATTCAAGTCAAATACATCATAATGCAGAATTCTTTATCAGTACCACCCAAAGATGAAGGTAAGATGAACTGCTGAGGAAAATGGCAATGTGTCTGTTACAGTTTTAATTTGATAGATTTAATGTCATTGATCTCTAATCATAAGGTAGCTTATTTCCTAGAATTAAAAACAAATTAGAATTATATATGAAAACTCATTTCTTTTGGTAAATTATTTAAGTGGATAGGGATTCCTGAGTTTTAGGGACCTGTCTCCTTTTCTCGGCTGATAGATCCTTGAGAACAAGGCCATCTCATTTCACCCACAACTCCAGAGTCCTGCCCATTCACTGGCAGTTAACTAGCACTAACAGATATCAATGAAATGAAAAAGTGTTAGCTTTTAATACTTAACAAGTATTTTAATGGGTAGAAGAATATGTGCGTATATATTCATACACACATGTAAACATACTCTTAGAGGATACAGCATTTGTGTATACATTTCTTTGACCTGTTTCCCCCATACCCATTTAAAAAGAAATAGAAAAACCACTTTATGCAATGTATAAAAAATAAAATAATGATTTTTTTTAACAAGCACTTCTGGATCTTCTAGAAGAACAGTTGATAGGTGGAGGTAGAGTCCTTTCTTAATCAAGAGTAATTAAATTATTCTCACCATAAAGGGTACACTCTAACCCCAGGGAGAAATATCAGTCTTTCCCCTGCCCCATCTAGTCTCTTCCACACAGAAGAGAAATTCTGACATGTGTGAGAAAAAAGACGTATCTTTAATGAGGCCAAATTAGCCTGCCTTAGTGGAACATGTAGCTTTTAGTGAATGGAGGGAATTTGTTATGAAGGACCCTTAAATCAAGCAAATACTCTTTGACCTCTCTATCGATGAGAAAGGTAGTATCATAACTCTTGAGAGCATGGAATCTGGATTTGAAACTCAGTTCAACCACTAAACCCTTAGGTATATCATTTGACCTCAGCTTCCACATCTGTAAATCTATAAAATGAAGATAATAAGTCCCACTCTATAGGATATGTGGAGACTAAAGGAAATAGCATCTAAATCACCTGGCATATTGTTGTTTGTGTAGTAGGCACTTATATGATGATATAACTACTGTTCTTAATGGTTATTATTAATATCTGAGACCCTCCCCATCTTTGAGACTAGTCAGTGAGATGGCCATGAGGCTGCCTCTTGGCTTGGGATGCCAAATGGCCTTGGAAGGCCAAACATGCTCCAAGGGGACCCATGGGGAGAAAGCAGGAAGCAGACCCCTTGGTTTGATTCTTATCCAGGAATTGGTCCAAAGCGATAGTGAGTCCTTGAGACTCCCACAAAATCTAGCCAGGAACACTAGGGCGAAGAAGGAGATGGGCAGATCCCAACTAGAAATAAAGAGCATGTGTTTTCCTTGAGTGTTCTCTGGTATATATCCTCTGGAAGATTTGTGCAGCAATCGGTAACTGATCAAGGGTTTGGAAATTCGCCATCCTCACTGGTGTCACCTCCTTTTGTCCAAGCAAGCAAAGAGAGGCTTAGGAGAAAGAATAATGGAACAAGTATCAAGAAAGCTGGACTCCATTTCAGAGCTGCCTCCAACCAGCTGTGGAGCCCCAGGCAAAGTTATTTTGCCCCTAAGCCTAGTTTTCCTATTTAAAAATCAAGAATTACTAGGTTTTCCTTTCAAGCTCTAAAAAGATGAGTCTACGTTTTATCTAAGCAAGGAGTACTTGACTCTGGCTGATACAGAGAGAGAAGGCACTCACACCTCTTGGCTGCTTTGCTTCTCAGCACAGTTTTTTTTGTCCTGATGTCTACTCTCTGAGCTAAAACATAAGCCTGGATACCTCCATTGACCAGAAGGTAAGACCCGTTGGCCCCACCCAGAGCTCAAGTAAACCTCCTCACCAGTTTCTTTTGGGACTAAAGATGCTTATGCCCAATCCTGGAATTTGACAGAGGGGGTATAATAGCTTAAAAAAACCTCAATCATGTGCCTCCAGTATGATAATCATTCTCCCTACAACTTTACATCCTTTATTTAATCTTCACAGTAAGTTAGATGTAATCCTTATTTTACAAGTTCAAGATTCGGTACTTTTTGCCAACACCACCCACCCATAAGTGACTGATCCAAGATTTGAACCCAGATTTATCATAAAATTTATGAAGAATATTTTATTTAAATTATAGAGAATATAATTTATTAATATTTATAAAGGTATTTAATTTATAAAGAATATTTCTATAAGAATTTAGAAAAATGTATAATTTAGAATTTATAAAGAATATTTTTAATTTTTGTTCATCTTTTTCTTCTCTGATGTTTACACTGTGCTTTGTTACATGTATGAATGCTTAAAGCCATTTTAAACCAGAATGGACAGAAATTATAACTTAAATTATGGAAAATTACATCAATAAGGAAAAATAACATATTTGAATATGTGTAAGGCCTAAGAATTGTCCAGTTATTCATTAATTAATTCATTCATTCAAATGCTTTCTGTATGTCCTGGATTCATGCTAATATTTTTTAACAAAGGCATCAGATTTATTAATTATGATTCCATTTATGATCAAATATAATTTATGGCTAGATGCAGCAGCTCCAACCTGTAATCACAGCACTTTGGCAGGCTGAGGTGGGAGAATAACTTAAGGCCAGGGTTTGAGACCAGCCTGGGCAACACAGCAAGGCTCCATCTTTACAAAAAAGTTTCAGAATTAGCTGGACATGATGACTCATGCCTATACTCCCAGCTACTTGGGAGGCTGAGCTAGGAGGATTGCTTGAGCCTAGGAGTTTGAGGCTGCAGTGAGCTATGATCATGCCATCACACTCTAGCCTGGGCAGCAGAACGAGACCTTGTCTCTAAAAAAGATACACACACACACACACACACACATATACATGACTAAATATATATAATACATATATTTTATTTAATTACATGTACATAATTTGTATGACATGAGAAGTTTGCTGGGCACATGCCATTTATTAATTAAATGCAGATTAATATATTTAACAAATCATTGATAGCTAGCTATAAATTATGATACCTTTGAATTTCCAACTTATAAACACATACACACATGTTATATGCATTTATGTATAAAATTCAGATAAGACATCACCAACAGAGTTGTGAGCCTTAAATTAAGGAAAATAGGCTGCACCAACATACTGTCCCCTGACAAAGTTCAAGTGGTAGAGGAGGTTTAATGATCACCAAGGTAATTCATACCAGTAACTGTCAGATGCTATGAAGGGGGCTCTAAAATCCTGTTGCAACAGCATATATGCATGTCCTTAACTAGAATAAAGCATGACTAATACCGTACTAGAAGTGAGCATATGACATACTTTGAAAATCAGAATAAAAGGACAGTTGGTTAAGCCAGAGATTTTGAGGCTGATCAGGAAACACAGTGGAAGTAATGATATTTGTTCAGGTTATTACCATTTGTGCAGAAGTCAAGCAAGTGTAATTTAGGCCAGGGGGTTTGAAGCTAGGAAGGACTGGCAGCATTATAAATGGAGAAAAGGAATTTGAAATTCTGGTTTCTTCTATTTAAATGTTATCTATTTCAGGTGAAGAGATTTAACATGGTAATATCACTAATATCACTTTAACAATAAGTTATACTACATTATAGAGTTTTCTATTATAACCTAGTGTCACTGTTATTCCTTTTTGCATGATAATATAATTTATAGAATTTTGAGAAGTTCAGGCGTATGATTTAGTTTTCCATAACTTTCTTTTTTTGTCTGATATTTTCAAATGATAGGCTAAACCGTATTTTTCAAAAAAGAGGCATGAAAACAACATAATAAGGCCAACTATTTAAATTTGTTGAAAGAAAGACAAAGTCACCACAGTGATTAAAAATGCAAGTGAATTTATTTATTTGCCATGTAAGAAAACTCACACAGGTGAGTAGTGTTGTCAAATGATTCTTTGACAGGGACAATGTATGTGTTTTATGTGCTAAGAAGAAGTAGTTCACTGTGACTATGCCAGTTGACCATTGAAGTTTGTACGTTGGGTAGTCAGGATGAATTTTAAGTTCCTACACAGTTGGCTAAAGCAAGTCCCATTGTTCATTGGTCAGGAAGGAGTCTCCATTTAAGTCAAGTGAGAATCTGTTTTACTGGAGTCTGTCAATTTTTAGTCACTTGTCAGCCTTACAGTTAAGTTTGCCATTTCCTAGGCAAGTCTTATGCAGGTCTTCATCCACTTTTCTCAACTCTGTCATAACGTTTGTATTATTTAAAGGTAGTTTTCAGATTGTGAGTGCTATTTCTATTTCATGAAAGTAAGAAGTGGGGGTGGAGAGAGTGCAAATGCTTTGAGGCCAAGACACACAGACGACCCCCTCTGGACCCACATGATTTGACTGCACAGCCACAGCCATTACTATCATGTGAATTCATATTTGAATCTTTTCTAAAAAGCTAGATTTTCTGATTCAGTAAAAAATAGTTATGATACTATCTAAAAATATATGTTATATCTTGCTGACATAAAAGTATATACTTATATCTTACAGGATAACATTTTGGTGTTTGTGAATGTAGGTTATTAGAACTTAAGGGGAGAACACTTAGAGAGGAGTTAGTTAATATTCATCTTTCTTAAAGTTTGGGGAAAAGATCTTACTTATTTTGGACTTAGCATCAGTTAGGTCTTTTATAAAGTTATTGATGAATTTTCTGTCTTTAGCAGTTTAAAGAACCCTGACATGTAGTAGGCTCTCAAAAGTATATTAAATTATGTACAAAATGCTTTAAACTCTCAAACATTTTTTAGAAATCACATCTGATGCTGTGAAAATGTTGTAATCTTTTTTTTTTTTTAATGAAACACCAAAGTGGATTGAATTCTAAGGTTGATGAAAGCAAATGTTCATTTAACAAATATTTATTGTAGACAGTGAGCAAAAGAAGCAAAGGGGGGAAAGTAAAACCCAGATAAGCTCTTCTCTCTTGCAGCTGTTGTAATTAATAACACTGGGTTGCCTATCCAAGCAGGGATTTCCTTTTTTGGGGATTTAACCTGAAAGTAGTTTATTCTTTTTATCTGATTGTAGTTTCACTCTTTCGAACATGGTATGAAGCCATTTTCTTAAGCTCTCTTTCTATTTTTTCTTCTCCTCCTTGCCCATCTCTCCCTTTTCCTCTCCATCTAGTGAAAGAACACTGAGCTGGGAAGCTGAGCTCTGCTCATTTTCTTGCTGCTTTTTAGGCTCTGTGATCTTGGCCAAATTCGTAAACCTCAGTCCCTTTGTCTTTCCAGTGGGGATAGTAATTCTTGTCCTATAACAATCAAATGCAACAGGTATGGTTGATTCTCATTATTTGTGGTACTTATATTCTATAAGGTTATTAGGAATTCTGAGTTAGCAGATACTGAGCCATTTGTTCCTAGGGGATATACAAGGTTAGGTTCTTGTGAGCCTCTAGTCACAACACTGTGTCAACAACTGATACATAACCTTGTTATAAGTGTGTTTCTGTTAAAAGATACTTTATTTAATAGACAGGTTAATTTTTTAACATTGAACCCAGAGACACAGCACTAGAATGCATGCCTCTTAACAAAGCTTCTCTAACACAAGTGTTTTCTCCATAAAGCACATCACGGTTTCTTGAGTGTAGGAGCACTAGACAGCCCTCAGCACTATGCTGGAAATCATAAGTAAACAGTCAAATCACCAAGGAAAAGCACACAAAAAAGCAAAAAAAAAAAAAAAAACAAGAAGTGGCCGCTTTTGAAATGTAAAAAAGGGTGTGCATTTACCTTATGGGAGTTGAATGAAGCAGGAGGTCTCTGTGTCCTGCCTCAGCTGCGAATTTGTGTGTCAAGTAGCTGAAATTTTTTCTTTCTCTACACATGTCCACGAATGACCACGGAAGCACAAGTATTGATTTTGGGGTTAAAATTAAATTTTAGCAAGTAGGCAAATTCACAAATACAGACTCTGCAAATAATGAGAATCAACTATATATGAATGTGCCTTATAAAAACTTTTAAAGCACAGTAGAAGACTCAGATAACTTGCAGAATAGAAGCTTGCTTTATGATATTTTTCTCCGATAAAACGACTTTGTGCATTGTTGATATTATAAGCTTCATGTTAATAAAGTAATATATTATTTGAAAGTAACCATAAATTCTTAGCTCAGTAAAGCTACAAAGAAAACTGCTGTTGTAAGATCTGTGACTCTCCAGCCCTCACATTTAACACACAGTAGCAAGGGGTACCTCTGTAATGCTTTGCATTTAGTGGTTAACATTGCTTTGTGACCTCATTATTGGGGGAAAAATCATTCCCCATGTATTATGAAAATATTATGTTTCCAAATATGTGAAATTCATATGGAAACATTTTGATCTTAACAAGTGGTGTAAATGCTGTTCTTGGACTTTTGGTACCATTTTATACTGCAGACCAAGTACAGATTGACATTTGCAAGCTGGTTTTGGTTAACTCCTTAATGTTGGAAATTGGAACTTTCCGATGTAATAACTTCTGCAAAATACCATTGTGCATCATTAGTATGTTATACCGTTGACAGAAGAACAAATGGAAAACACACATGCCTGTAGAAATACCCTTTTAGAGTAAATGGAAATGACCTGGGTATCCTAAAACTATAAAGCAGGCCAGCCATATATGGAAGTTGGAATAAAATATTAGAGTTTAAAATATTAGTAAATTCAGATAATAATATTTTTGTTGTTGAAATAGCCGTATTATGGGCCGGGCACAGCTGGAGTGCAATGACGGGATCTCAGACTGCAACCTCTGCCTCCTGGGTTGAAGCGACTCTCCGGCTTCAGTCTCCCAAGTTTCTGGGATTACAGGCATGCACCACATGCCTAGCTAATTTTTTGTATTTTTAGTAGAAATGGGGTTTCACCATGTTAGCCAGGCTGGTCTCGAACTCCTGACCTCAGGTGATCTGCCCACCTCCATCTTCCAAAGTGCTAGAATTACAGGCATGAGCCACTGGGCCTGGCTGAAATAGCTGTATTTCTACTGCTTAAAAAGCAGGCTCGTAATCAGATAATTTACTTGGTTATGTATCAGTGTCAGTGTGGTCGTTTGGCAGCAGAGTCTCTCAGAAATTCCAATTAACCATGTAAATATATTTCATAGCATCACATCTCACTCTGTCAGAACCCCTGCTGCCTTTAGATCATTAACATAAATGCAGGTGCAAATAGCATTTATGTACTTTGATAGAAAGCAGTTGGAGACATTTCACTGTGGGACACAACACTTTCAGATTGTGTACATCTGTTCAAATAATGTATCCAGCCCCAGTGACATAAACACAAGGATGGAAACATCTGCCCCTGAGACCATTTGCAATGTAGCAGATGCTTGCATCTTTATTTATGCAGATGGTTAGTGTGATGGGTAGAGCAGGGATAAAAGCAAAGTAGTTTGACAGGGGTACTTAGGATGTTATGCAAGACAAAAATAAAGTATAGGTATTTTTTGTTTTTAAAAGTCTAATAGCAATAGGAATAGAAATTCATAAATCTAGTAATGCTTTTCATAGAGTAAACATATTGTTCTTATCTTTAAATTAATGGGCATCAAAATTCTAAAAACATTTATAGAATTCCAGCATCTAACTTGTATTAATTAGAAAGAGCAATTTATGATTACTTTTATTTGGATAAAATAATTTTAAATGATTTCGAATACTTTTTCTTAAAAAAAAAAAAATCCTTTAGGCCGGTTGTGATGGCTCATCCCTGTAACCCAGCACTTTGGGAGGCCAAGGGAGGTGAATCACCTGAGGTCAGGGGTTCGAGACCAGCCTGGACAATATGGTGAAACTCCGTCTCTACTAAAAATACAAAAAATTAGCTGGGCATGGTGGTGGGCATCTGTAATCCCAGCTACTTGGAGTTTGAGGTAGGAGAATTGCTTGAACTCAGGAGGCAGAGAGAGATTGTGCCATTGCACTACAGCCAGGGGAACAAGAGGGAAACTCCGTCTCAAAAAAAAAAAAAAAGAAAAAGAAAAAATCTTTTTAAAACACCGCTCTGTTTTTTAAAAAAGATTGTATTCTACCAAGAGTATCTTGTGATGATATTTCTTAAAATTGGGGGGAAAATGTAAATGCCATTATTTGAATATAACTTATGAGATATTCCATAAATATAAACTCAAGTAAAATAAATTTCTGACACATGATATGAGATTTTTGTCAGGCATTTGATCTGTTTATATTCTAACATTGACAGCTAGTGATATTTTAATTATAATTAATATTTGTGTTAGGATGAAATACCTTTTAATACTTTATCATCAAAACTTTCTCCTATTGATCTGCCGTGTTATATTCTCAAGGAAGCAAAGGTGAAGGGAATAAAACCCTAACAAAAAAAACTAAAACATTTCCAGACTTGATTTTCCATTCTCATTCACACACACCTGCCCACTCACTCAGACGTGCGCGTCACACACACACACACACACACACACACACACACACAGAATCTCAGAAGAGATAGGAAGTTAGAGATTTCATCTAATTCAGTAGTTCTCAGACTTAATAGTTTCAGGACCCTTTACACTCTCAAAAACTCTGCATTTGCTTATATGGGTTGTAGCTGTCAATATTTACCACACTTAGTGGTTATAAGCAGAAAAATGTGTATTTATAGATTGATTTTGAAATAACAGTAAGCTCATTACAACTTAACATAAATAACCTCGTTTAATAAAATTGACTATACTGTAAAAGTAATGACAAAAACTGCAGTTACTTTTGCACCAACCTAAATATTTTGCCAAAGCAAAAAACAAATAATGAAAAGACTGTCATGGATTTACATTTTCTGCAAATATCTTTAAAGTCTGGCTTCACTGAAGACAGTCTGAGTCTCATATCTAGTCCTGCATTCAGTCTGTTGTGATATTAGGTATGTTGAAATATTAAAAGCCAGCTTTCCAGTAGTCAGAAAGGAAGGGAATATTGTTGTGGCCTTTTCAGATAATCATGGATATTTTTCTTTGATACTACACCAAAACTTGTCAGATGGAAATTATAATGTAAAACTTGAAACTGTGTCCATGTACTTTTGTATTCTATTATATTTTGGGTCTCATATTTGAGTGATTCTTTTATCCATGCATGTAATATTAAACTAAGCTTGTCATTTAGAAAACACTAGTTCAGTGAGTTTTCCATATACTTCATTGTATAATATTTTAAAAATCACTCATTAACGTAAACACCAGTTTTATCTGAAAAGTAACTACTGGGACGCTTCAAGCTGCTAGTGATAAATTCAAATTTTCCAAAATTCCAATTGCCACTTGAAAGAAAATGACTTTTATCATTGGCAGCAAATACTGTTAGAAGTTATTTGTTGTAATGCCAAGCTCCATTCATTTACTTTTGAGAAAATGTCTGCCAGACAGCCAAACCTTAATATGTTCATTCAACATATTTCAATGTATGTCTGTCAGATGTTTTTTCAAGTAAAAATGGTATTCCATGACAAAAGCAGGAATCGAGTGCTTGTCCTCAGGGCAATACTCCCACTTCCATCTGCAGCAGACGTGTAGTCTGAGTGTGAACCATTTCATCAGAATATTAAAAAGGCATGCACTCAAGGATCAAATTTTACAAAACTAAAATTTTGTACTGCTTTTTTGTTGTTCCACCAGGAGAGTGCCGCAGTGAAGAATATGAATGCTTGAACAGTTTGTGGGCACCACCCTACTCGGCTAAGTTGCTAGAGAAGGTTTACCCCATCGGCACCAATGTCAAGTGCAAATGTTGACACAAGGCAAATGACATCTCAATAGGAGTGTGAAGAGAGTATTTGGCACCCTCTCTGAGGTTCTGCAAACCCTACTTTGAGAAACACTGATGTAATCTAATCCCCTCTTGCTAAAGAGAGGAAACTATGGCCAGGAAGGATTAAGGATTATTCTAGCAGCATAATCAGTCAAAGCCAGACGTCTACTCTCTGTCATACACATAATGCAGTGTGTCTTGTTTTCGCTGAGGAACTCCTCCTCCAGCCTCCTGCGAAAAGAAAATTCCTCAGATCCAAATCATTACACCACAGCACTGATGTATTATAGAGTTTACTAAGGGAGCAGGACTTGCCACATGAGGAATTTAGAAATTCTTTTAGCATTTTAGACTTTTCTTTCAGTCCTAATGTTCTTAGGTGTCATCAGTTTTAGAAGAAGGTGGTATAAGATTAAGAAGTATCTAAGAAATGTATGTTATTTTTAAAATTTTAAAAGACCTTAGTAATTTCTTTCTTCTTTTTTGCTCATCAAAAAAATCACCTTCTCACTGCTTAAAAGTGTCATTAAATGTATTATGTAATTGTTGCTTCAAAAAGTCAGATTCTGGTGTAAGCCTGATTTGGTCACCAGCAGCTCTGTTAAAAGAAGGCGGTAGTTACAGTGCTATAGGGCATTGCAAATTGCCGTGTGTGACTTCATTAACTATTTCTCCAGTAACCTTGCTGTAGATTTCTCTTAGAAGAAGGACATGTTCTTTCTCTGCTAACAGTTGCACTGTGACTGGAAAAAAGTTGTTCAAAAAGGTCTTTGTTTTCTCAGCATTGAGATGGATTATGTGGCACTCACCAGCCACTAGAAGAGATAAATTGACAAACAACTTGTTAGGCTCAGTGTGTTGGAATCGAGGGAGCTTTGGTGCCAGACAGACCTGGTTAAAAGCCACCTCTCAATACCTGCTTTGTGACCTTGCAAGGAATGTTTTCTCCATATCTCCATATCTATAGACTGGAGGTGTTAATACCAAGAACTGGTGGAGGACTTGAGACAGTAGATTAAGCATTCAGTCTGACTTCTGAGGGGCATTTTAACTTCAAAATAGAACTTCAGGAAGAGTAGAAAGGGATGAGTAGAGGCAGTGTATATCTACACATCTGCCATAGATTGTCTCAGGAAGAAAAGGAAGGAGATAGGGCCTAACGACTCTTTCTTGTTGCTGTTGTTTTTCTGTTTTTGTGTTCAGCAGTAGCACAGCTGAAGGAAGGCACGTTAATATGGTTGAGAATTAATAGTTTGCTCCTTCAGTAAAAAAATATGTTGCACAACTGCCAGCTGCCGATCTGGAGACTGAGGCCCTAGCAGTAACAAAACAAGCCCCTGCTCTTTTGGAGCTTACATTTTAGGGAGGAGACAGAAGCAGAAAAAGAAAACAGCAAGTGATTGCATGGGGCTGAGCAGCTCCGTTGAGATAGGATGGTCACACAGGCCAGCCTCCCTGAGAGCTGGGGGAGCTCACCAATGGGGCAGAATCCCCAAGGCACGAGGGGCATGGAAGGAAAGGTAGTGTCCAGAGCAGGGTTGGGAATACTTGACTTCCTTATTTTCAGATGCACCTTTTTGTCAGGACTTGAGTATTGTATATTTAGAGTGATAGTACTTCTCTTCCTTGCCCCCACCACAGAAAAGGTTTTTTATAAATTTACTTATGTGACATAATCAAAGATAAAAAGAGAGTTTAGAAATAGAAGGGATAGTAAACGAGTTCCCACATGATAGCCTCTCTTTTTTCCATGAAGATAATGTCAAAAATCATTGGCAAGACAGAGATAGCCCTGGGGAAAGGGCAGAGGTGGGGCAGAGGGAGAGTGCCTCAGAAGAGCAGGGGGAACGTGGGCCACCTCAGTGAGGGACAGAAGAGAGTCTCTTAGGGACAAGTAAATAGACTGTGGAATCAGTTTTGAACTAGAAACTTTAAACTTAGAACATTGTCCAATGTTCACAATGGTTGGATTTTTCCAGCACCAAATAACAGGCGGTAGATGCGGAGAGCACAAGGTGGGGCCAGCTGGGCAAGGTTCTGTAGGAAGACAGCAAGGGGGTGAACCTGTGATATGAGCGGAGTGAGTGTGGATGGTCAGCCACAAGGCCAGCTCTGAAATGGGAAGATCTACCTAAGGAGACCACTCACAAGCATGCATAGCCTCGAAGCAAGGAGAAGCAGTGAGCTGTGTCATCACTTCATCTCCAGGGAGATGGGAGAATTAAGTCTGACATACTCCTCATCTGTGCATGAGAGTAGATAGATATTCCCTTCAGCCAGCTTTCCTAATCATCACTAAAAGACAGTCAACATATTGGTGGAGAAGAAGAATGGCAGAATTCAAAGACAAAGGAATCCAAAGTAGTCACTACCGCTTTCATTATAGAAATAAGGAACAGTCAAGACTTACCAGCAGAAATGTTAGGGAATAATTATCCACAGAGCAAAGGAATTCTTGACTTCTTAGAGATCCATGGCTGTCCAACCTTGTGCATTTGTACTTAGAAATCATGAGCTATGTGACATAAAAGCTGAGGTATAGAAAAACATGCAGCAAAAAAAGTTGTAAATCACTTTGAGTTAAAGATAAATCAGCAGAGATGATAAAGCATCTGTAAAACTGTACTATAAAGCAGTGAAACAATTCCTTTTTTAAACTGTAGTTTGTACATTCCTCAAAAATACCTCTTTTAGATAAAGTGAACTTACTTTTGAAATTACAGTATAAAAAGATGCCTTTGTAATTTTGGTTCCCTGTGTTTAGCTATACTGTTGTTGAAACGTTGTGATTTTTACCACTTTAGTTTCATAATCATAGTGTTTTGACCAAAGGCAAGAAAATTCCTGCCTTTTGGATGTGTCCTAGTTTAATTGTTCCAACTGACTGCACATTCTGATGGTGAAACCTTATCTTTCTGTTTATCCCACTGAGGAAAAGATTTCTTCACCGTCATCTGGTTAGTCATCCCAGATACTTAACTGTTCTGCTATTGAAAAATAAAAGTAGGCCTGGTGCAATGGCTCATGCTTGTAATTCCAACATTTAGAGAACTGAGGTAGGAAGACCACTTGAGCCCAGATATTCGAGACCAGCCTGGGCCACATAGTGAGACTTCAACTCTACAAAACAATGTTTAAAAACTAGCCACATAGGGTGGTATGCACCCTATTCCAACTTCTTGGGAGGCTGAGACAGGAGGATCACTTGAGCCCAGGAGTTTACAGGGTGAGCTGTGATCGATCATACCATTGCACTCAAGCCTGGGTGACAGAGCAAGACCCTGTCTCAAAAGAAAAAGAAAATGTAAGCTGGGCGCGATGGCTCACGCCTGTAATTCCAGCACTTTGGGAGGCCGAAGTGGGTGGATCACGAGGTCAAGAGATTGAGACTATCCTGGTCAACATGGTGAAACCCCGTCTCTACTAAAAATGAAAAAAATTAGCTGGGCATGGTTGCGGGTGCCTGTAATCCCAGCTACTCAGGAGGCTGAGGCAGGAGAATTGCCTGAACCCAGGAGGGGGAAGTTGCGGTGAGCCGAGATCGCGCCATTGCACTCCAGCCTGGGTAACAAGAGCGAAACTTCATCTCAAAAAAAAAAAGGAAAAGAAAATGTAAAAAGAAGGGCCTATTTTTAATTTGTTGGTGGACGATTTCTTGCCATGACATATCTGTGCGGCTCATTAAGGCTCATTTGCAGATGTTTTCATGTTCACCGGCTCCATTGAAAAACAGCTGACTCGGCAAATGTCAGAGTGTCCTGGAAGGACAGTGTACACAGGTATTTGTGATGATGACATGAGGTCCAATGAAATGATCTGCTGCTTTTTACCATGTTAGAGTTCAGTTATCAAGGTCTAAATTCCAACTGTGTGACTCAGCTGAATATTAACAGTTTGAGTGATAATAACAGAAAGAATATTGAGAGAATAGGGTTAGCAAAGCATTTCAGAAGTTTGTGTTTATCTTGCTCAGTGTCTTTGGAAGGTCATTAGCTCTCCTCAGTCATTCTGAGATTTGAGTCAAGATACTGGCTTGAATGTTTTGTAATAATGAATACAATCTTATGCATGCTACAAATTATTTTTGCCAAAAAGTAAGCAACTTTATCTTTCTAAATGTATTAAAACAAAAACATTTCATATGGCTTTCAACCATTTTTATCAGAAGCATTCCAAATCAAAACCAGTTCCTTCCAGAAAGAACTAATAAAAGCTTCATAATTAGAATGAAGAAGAAATTTGTTGAAATTGAGAATCATTAAAATATATATTAAGTGGTTAACCTTTTTAAATGTACTTTTTACTTAGGACATTAATTCTGTGGCCCTGAAAGAATGAATAGTTACTTCAGTTTACCAACCACATTGTGTTATTTTTTTTAACTGCCCTTAATATTCTAGGTAACTGGCTTTTAAATTCTTTCATAAAGAATGCTTGTTTCCTCTTGCGGCATGATGTGGTCAGCCTGCCGCATTCTGGGTTCTGCGTCTGTGGGTTCTGCATCCATGGATTCAACTAACCACAGGTTGAAAAAAAATTTTTAATTGCATCGGTACTGAACACTTTTTTCCCCGTGTCATTATTCCCTAAACAATATGGTAAAATAACTACATAGTATTTACATTGTACTGGGTATTATAAGCATCTAGAGATGATTTGGGGTATACAAGAGGTGGTATGTATAGGTTATATGCAAACACTATGCCATTTCCATCAGGGATTTGAGTACCTTTGGATTTGAGTGTCTGAAGGAGATCACTGTGCTGCGGAGGAACCAATCCCCTACAGATGCTAAGGGACAACTATATTTATATATCTCATTTAGTCCATTTTAGGGGCTACAGTTCCTCTTTCGGTACCTAACTTTTCTTTCTGTACTCAAGGTGTCTTAAAACTTACAATGATTTATTTGGCAAAATACTATAGTCTACAAAGCAAGTGTCCCTATCCCTGCTCTAGGCTCCATCCCCCATCACAGGGCCACTGAGATCTGTACTCACCCCACTTTCTGAACAACTACTAGCATAATTGCTTTCTTCCCTGCTAGGTTTAAGAGCAACAAATGGCCCCACTACTTACTAGGTATAAACGAAAGTGGGGAAAGTGGGAAGGAGTGTCTCCGTAAAACGGCTCTTTAAAATGCAGGTATGTTAACCCTATTCACATCGAATTGTTAATCCAATTAGCACTTTGTCAGTTGGGGTACAAACATTTACAGAAGGCCACGTGGGAGTAGAATGTGGACAGGGAATCAGAGAGCCTGGCAAGACGGCTTGGGTCAGATGTTAGGAAAGATTGACCTGCCACATTGGGTGTCAGGAGAGAGGCACAAGATTTAAAATATGGTTTCATTATTACAAGCGTAGAGGCAAAGGAAAACCTCCTCTTCGCCCCTCTGAAGGTTCACTGATAATGAGCCAACAATCAGCAGATTAATTAGAGAAAAGGCATACACACATTGAATCACTTGTGTAACATGACACAAGAGCCTTCAGAAGGCAGACCAAAGATAGGAAACTGTCCCTTTTCATGCTGAGGTTCAACAAAATAGGGACAGCTGTGAATAAATATAGTTGGACAAAGGGGTGTGATCTGATGCTAATGGAGTGGGTGAGGAAACCCAGCAAGGCTTGTGTGTTTTGGATTGTTGTTGACCTCTCTATGCACAATCCTTCTTTCTGGGTATGAGGCAGGGCCTCTCAGGAATGGGATCCGATGACCTACAATCAAACAAGTAGGTCAGATCATCTCTTTATGGGCAGGGTTAGAGTAATAATTTTAGGTTTTATGGCTGGCTTTGGGGAAGAGCGGTTCTGGTTTCTATGACTCACCTTGGGGAAGAGGGATTCTAGATTCTATGGCTAGCCTTGGAGGACAAGAAAGGGCCAGAGAGAGAAGAGCAGAGAGAGTTTTTTGCGTCTGAGGCCTTCATTTTGGGGAATTATCTTTTGAGGCCCAGCATAAGTAATAACCATTTCTTTTCTCTTTCCTTCATTTACCTCTAAAAATAAAAACACTACTTTAAGGATTTGGAACTACTTCCATATACTGAGCATTCAAGATTTGTGCCCTTTTTAAAAATTTATTTATTTTTGAGATGGAGTTTCGCTCTTGTTACAAAGGCTGGAGTGCAATGGCGCGATCTCGGCTCACCACAACTTCCCCCTCCTGGGTTCAGGCAATTCTCCTGCCTCAGCCTCCGGAGTAACTGGGATTACAGGCACGCACCACCATGCCAATTTTTGTATTTTGAGTAGAGACGGGGTTTCACCATGTTGACCAAGATCGTCTCGATCTCTTGACCTCGTGATCCACCTGCCTTGGCCTCCCAAAGGATTTGTGCCCTTTTTTCCCATCAAAAATAAGTGTTAACAACCTAATACTCTCTATCAAGAGAAAGTGGAAAACTAGTATATCTGCTGAGCATCTAACATGTAGCAAGAACTACCTGTACCGTTGTGGATATTTTTGTCATTCAATCCTGACAGGGACCTTTGTAGGCAGGTATTGTGCCCATTTCATAGATCCTAATATTTAGGCACAGAGAGTGAAGTGCCAAAGCCACAGGTACATGACAGAGCTAGGAGTTGAAACCAAATCTGTCTAAACCCCAAAACACACAATCTTTCTACTGAAGATCAGATGCTGGCCATAACCACACGTAATAGCTTGCAGTCAGCATGCAGAGGTGGGAAAGAGCCCTTGGAATAAAATCACTAGGGTTTGAGTTCCAGAGCTGTTACTTACCAGCTTAGAAATCTTTGTAAAACAGACTTGGCCAGGTATGGTGGCTTATGCTTGTAATCACAGTACTTTGGAAGGCTGAGGCAGGTAGATCACTTAAACCCAGGAGTTTGAGACCAGCCTGGACAACATGGCAAAACAATATACAAAAAATAAAAACTTAGCCCAGCATGTTGGTGTGCCTCTGTAGTCCCACCTACTTGGGAGGCTGATGTAGGAGGATCACCTGAGCCTGGGTAGTTCGAGGCTGCAGTGAGCTGTGATCGCACCACTACATTCCAGCCTGAGGGACAGTGAGACCCTGTCTCAAAAACAGACAGATCCAACAGTGGTTCCTAATTCAGGTTTTTGTGGAGACTAAGTGAGATAATGCATGTTAAATATTTTACACAGTACCGAACCCATACAATCTACTTATTGTTGAAATAATATTAAAGAAACAGTATTGATAAAGAAGCTCAGCTCCTCAGAAAATGTGAATTTTCTTCCCTGCTAAGCAAGGTAATGGGTGCACTGTTTGACAAGATAAATCTCAAAGGCCTGTGCTGAGTGGAAGTTGCCTACATGTCACTGGTGTTGTTATGGAGGGAGAGAGGAGTTAGCTAAGAGCAATAATTGAGCAGAACACAAGTAAGTATGTCAAGGAGAGTGGACTCAACTAGCCTCAGGATGCAAGATCTCCTGTTAGGAATGTGCTTGTTTCCTTTGCATTGTCTCCAGTTTCCTGAAATTTAGGTCTGAGACATGATGACTCTAGGAGGTCTCAGTACTGCAGATACATGGACTAGAAATGCATTTGGCATTCTGAGTCCTTAGAAACAAAAGAACACCTGTGCCTATTGCCAGCACGTTTTACAGTGCATGCTCTATAGTCAACGCTCAATAAATTCTTGTTGACTCTGCTGGACAGTGGCTTGGGGAGAGGGTAGGCAATGGCTAAAGGTGTTTATAGGTTTTTCAACAAAATTAAGTTGCACTCCCTTATGTTATGAGACATTGCTTTTATCCCAGACCTCTCCAGGGTTTTATTTTAACTAGAGACCATATTTATTTTAACTAGAGACCATCTTGGGAAACAGTTTGAATCCCCAACTGGAATTTATTATTTGAAAGCCAAGTGGCAAGGAAAACAAGGATACCAACAAATAAAATTGAAAATAGAGTTTTTCAGTTTAATAAAATTAAAACCAAAACAACACCTAAAATTTTTGGCTCTGTAGTGACCAAGATTTGGCAGAACTTTCCTCCTGAGCCTGGATCCAGGGGGCCTATTTCAGGAGCAGGGACACGCCTGTCTTTCTCGGCTTGCTCCTTCCTGCACTCTTAGCAGTAGGCCTCTGGGCTCCAGGAGATGGAATAATGGAACTTTGCCCGAACCAGCGACCAGATGAGAGGGAACAACTTTGTTCAGAAGCAACAAAGCAGGCCTTGGTTCTGCCATTGGAAATCAGGAAGTGAGCTGTTTGTAGCTATCTAGAGAACTGCCTCATGTGCTTGTCTCTTAATACTATTTGTGGTAGCTGCATTGTGAAATGGCTTAATAAAGCTGGGTTAGATGGTGGCACCTAGTGCTGTTCATCCCTCATTCTTTCCTCCACTGCCTCTAACATGTAAATGATATCCATCAGATCCAGTCCTTTGATGGCAATGGAGGAGGAGGAGGACACACACTGCACATTCTCCAAATTTCCAGCAGCATTTTTGGATTTGTCAGAGTCCTATGGATAGTAAGTGGCAAATTCAAATATAAGAATATGCTTTGGCTTTCAAATGACTATTAATTTTCTGTGAATTAGTATAATTTAATGGTAATAGAAATTTTATGCCAGGCACAGTGGCTCATGCCCATAATCCCAGCACTTTGAGAGGCTGAGGTGGGTGGATCACTTGAGGTCAGGAGTTCGAGACCAGCCTGGCCAAAATGGTGAAACTTCGTCTCTACTAAAAATAGAAAAATTAGCTTGTTGTGGTGGCGCACATCTGTAATCCAAGCTACTTAGGAAGCTGAGGCAGGAGAATTGCTTGAACCTGGAGGCGGAGGTTGCAGTGAGCCAAGATTGCGCCACTGCACTCCAGCCTGAGTGACAGAGCAAGACTCTGTCTCAAAAAAAAAAAAAAAAGAAAAAAGAAATTTTAGAATATGACAAGCCATTTGTATTTCAAATTTTCTTTTTTTTCTTTAAGATTTAGAGATGGTATTATATTTTGCGATAAATTAGGACAACTTTACATATAATCTCCCCCCGCTTTGAAGGAAGAATGAAGAAAAAGGTCATTGCTTCAAATTGGAATTGGGACAGATCTGGGTTGTGTGGACTTTGGCAGATTATTTAACTTCCTCAAACCTCATTTTTCTTAATCTGTATAAGGGGAACAGTAATACTTCCCAGCAGAGTTTGGATGAGGATTTAATTAAAAGACCCAGCACCAATTCTAGACCATAATAAGGGCTCAACACTTCCTAGTTTCCCTGTAATCCCAGTTAGATCAATTTCTCACCAACTGTAAATGTCACTTTTCAAAATCATTATTTTAATATGCTTAACACATTAAAAACAGCCCATATTTAAGGTTCTAATATTAAGTATTCCTGTTGAAGAATTGTACAAAATTAATTTTACTAAGCAACCCTTTTATGCCTTCAGTTAATAAAAGTCCATGTTTAGTACCCAAGAGTCCTGTGAGTCTCTTTAACTGTGTTATGGGTAGTTTTGCAGGATTTCCAGAAATTATGAATGTCAGTGGAAATTTTTACTTCTCGTTATTTAGTGCACAGTTCTGTAAGATCTGTAATTTAGTGGGTGCAGGTGAGGGTTTTTAGTTCACACCATCTGTGAAAGGCCTTGTAAATGTGTGGTGGAATAAACCACTGTTGTGTAACTAGCTTGCCAAGGAAGACTTTCTGCATTCATACTGTCTTAGTATGTTAGAGTTTTAGAAACTTAATGGCATTTTCAGCTTCTCTAAGCACTCCTGTTGTTCAGACTGCTTAAAACAAAAACAGAAAAAGCCAAGCTATTCTAGCATAACTGACCTTGACTGCAAATTGTTTTATCTTAAAGAGCTGAGTGTTTGGAGGAATAATTCTCCCAACTCCACTTGTCTTTGGGAGGTAATGAGTTCTAATACTTGTCAGTACTTGACTTTGGCGGGTAGTCATGCACTGCCTGTCGGATTACTAGATTACTTCCCTGATGGTTAGCAATTCTTATCGTTAAGTAGTCAAGGAAAATAAAAGACGTGAGCCTTTCTCTGTGTGTATATCTAGACAGTCATTTATGCATAGACACATAC